GTCAGAACTTTAATGCGGTGGCGTTTCTCCTACACTGCATGGATCTGAGTGCTATTTGGATATGTATTATTTGTGGGTTTATTAAATATTTTTATGATGTTTTGGGGTATTTTTAGGTTTTATATTTTTATGTTTGCCTCTCTGTTCCTGGGATATAATTAGCTTACTGGTCTTTAACGCAATTATCTCCCAGGCACATAGATTTATGGGAGGGGCTTGTCTTGCATTGAATAGAGTCCCCATGCTGAGGGTTGTGTATAAAAGCAGGCAACTTGGCCATAATAAACCCTTCTCTCAGTCTGGGCTAGTGTTTGGTTGGATCAGCTATACTCTCTGCAGGAGAGCTTAATCACTTGAAGCTGTACCCAGGGAAGTGACGGAGAGACCCCAGCCAAGCTGCGGCAGCTAGGGGCTGAAGCACTCCTGTGTCCCAGAGGAGAGCTTGACGGAGGTACCCAGTCAAGGTTCCAAGAGGTCCGTATCAGCATTATTGTGACATAATGATGCTGGGATGTGCAGAGCTTGACCAGGAAGCCACATTAGAAATAATTTGCATTCATGTATTTGGATTAAAGCACATGCTTTGTAAGTAAAGAGCATAACATTTTGGCACAAATTGGATAATGTAAGTTGCTACTTTTAAGTGTTTGTTATTAAAAATGTGATGATTTTAAACATCTTTTTTATTGTATAACATTGATGGAGGTTTTTAACACTTTGCATAAATTACCAGAGCATGCTTTCTCTGGTTTAAATGGTCTGTATTTTTATTTTTGTGTTTTTCAAACTGGAAGGATTCAAAAAACAAGAAAATGTATGGACTTTAGACATGAAACTTTATGTATATTTGTGTGTGCCCCACACAGAGGTGTTACATGTTTAAAAACCTTCTCTGTCTGGAGGTTATGTGCACACATGCTGTTTTTTATTTATTTGATTTTCGTGTGATAGAGATGCACTGTATGTGTTACCACTAGCACTACCTGGTTTACTTTAATAGTTTGAATTTGGTTCCTATGCGTCTGTAAATTTCCTTAGTTTGTGTTGTATCATTTTAGAGCATGTCAGCCACCATAGGTAATTCCATAGAAATAATTACTCTAGAAAGTGGAAATCAAATATGAAGTCCACTAGTAAATGAGTCCAGGGGCAACTAACCATGGAGACAAGCTGTTGTAGACCAGAGGGCAATAGTCTTGGGATTGCCTGCTTATCTCAAACGTGACATACATGAGCAAAGTTTGTAACATCCATTCTAAGGTTAGAAGAATTCCTTTGAGTAATTTGCAAAAGTTATGTAGCCATATCTATGTCCTGCTAGCTTAGAAGTGTGGAAAAGGTTAATTAAGTCATTTCTATAATACTCGGGGGAAAAAACACTTAAAGGGACACTATAGTCACCTGAACAACTGTATAGAACATGCCCCTGCAGCCTCACTGCTCAATCCTCTGCCATTTAGGAGTTAAATCCCTTTGTTTATGAACCCTAGTCACACCTCCCTGCATGTGACTTGCACAGCCTTCCATAAACACTTCCTGTATAGAGAGCCCTATTCAAGTTCTGTTTAATTAAGATGTTCTTATCCCCTGCTATGTTAATAGCTTGCTAGACCCTGCAAGAGCCTCCTGTATGTGATTTAAAGTTCAATTTAGAGATTGAGATACAATTATTTAAGGTAAATTACATCTGTTTGAAAGTGAAACCAGTTTTTTTTTTTCATGCAGGCTCTGTCAGTCATAGCCAGGGGAGGTGTGGCTAGGGCTGCATAAACAGAAACAAAGTGATTTAACTCCTAAATGACAGTGAATTGAGCAGTGAAATTGCAGGGGAATGATCTATACACTAAAACTGCTTTATTTAGCTAAAGTAATTTAGGTGACTATAGTGTTCCTTTAAGGGTTGGAAATTCAGAAAAAGCAGAAGCCTGTGCAATCAGTGTTTGTTCTGCCCAAATTGCTATGAGTATAGGGTGAAAGCATGCAAATATGCACTCTGGAGGTATAATAGGCTGAGAAAGTATCAGCCTTGGGGTTTCGGGTACCTGCTCTGTATGAGAGAACGCTATAGAACCTGGACAAAAACAGTGCGTTTGTCAGACAATCTTTTTTCACCTCTCACAAATATGAAAGATTTTTATGTTCTGTATAAATCAGTGCTGGAGAAACTGTACCCTTCAGCAAGTCTCAATTTCGGTCAAAATGTTGGCCATGATCTCTCTAAATTCATTATAATTTTATTCTAGGGGTGGCACTTTTTATAGAAGAAATAAAAGGCATATAATAGGGCAGAGTGAGGTTCACTTTGAGATAGAAGAGCACAAGTACCATACCCAGAGGCATCAACTTTAAGTATACAGGGCTGAGTAGGTTTAGGATGGGTCAACAGAGGAATGGAGGAAAACATTTCCTTATATGTATAAAAAAAAAAAAAAATTGGATTTCTGGAGACTAGTAATAAGCCCTGGCCCATTCCTTTGCCATGGCTATTATAGTGGCCAACTTGGGGGAAACCCTCAATGAACCACCTGTAGTATGTAATGAATCATATGATTTTTTTTATTTTATTTTTTTATATAGCATTAAGGCCTATAGGAATTATCATTCAATACAGATTTTTCCTGAGTCTATTTGATATTCTCATATTGGATAATTAAACCTAAACAAATGTCTGTGTATATCTATCTCTATAAGAAAGCAAAGTGCACCATAGGGAACAGGTGGTAATACAAGGGCAGACAAGTGCAGCTTTGAAGTTCCACGGGGGAGGAAGTAATGTTTTAGCTGTGTATATCACCAACTGAGAACAACTCTATGCTTTGAAATAACCAGAGACTCAATAGAGGCAGTGATGAGACAATAGTAAAGTGATTTGAAGCAATTTAG